GAAAGATCATTTTGTATTTATATATACAAAATAGCTAGGATAGATATACAGCTACTTTTGCTTAATTCAGTGAGAAGAAAGAGGTGTACTAATAGTGTTTGGACAGGACATCCTGTCTGCTTCTTGTACTATGGATAACCACTAAGAAGATAACAATGTACAATGTATTGATTATTGAAACTGTCTTATTATTCAGCTTTGAAACTGTCTCATTCATATTTCTCAATAAAATAAAAAAAATAAAAAAAACCAAAAAAAAGTCAATCAAATTTACAAAGGGTTTTTTTTTTTTTTTTTTTTTTTTTGGGAGTAATGAGGATAACATTAAGAGGAAAAGGTCAACTTCCTGAAGTAACGGCAGTATTACTATGATCAATGTTTCCTTCATGAGAATTAGGTTTCCTGAAAATCTTCATGAAAAAGAAGGGAAATCACTTTAGAGTTGTTATGCTTACAGATTGACAAAGTTAAGGGAAATCAACTTGAATTTATTTTTTAAATATAGGAAATAAATGTTACTTATGTGCCATCTTTTTACAACACAGAAAGCACAAGTAATTTGTTGCCATAACTATACACCAACTAGCTAATGCTAAAACAAATGTAGATGTCTGAGAGCTGAGATAACAGGTCATTGACTCCCACCTGTCAGACTTCACAATTTAGTGGGTCAGGTCAGTAAACAGGTATTTTAAACTATACATACATTGATGTAAGCACATGTACAAAAATAAGGAGCTCACCTGGAAATGACTTTTATATGCTTTAAATGAATTCTGTATAACAAAGTTAAGTTTTGAATTTAATGATGAAATGCTACCCACACAACAGAAAGGTTCTCAGGTTTCTGAGCCTTAATATTGTGAGAGAGCACTGTAGTTTGACAGTCTTTACACATATCCTGGGGAACACATTTAAGTGAATAAAGTGACTGCCATGCAGTCAGATAAACAATCTGAATGCAAAGGTAGTGGCAACGCAACTGCTTCAAAACCATACAGTCAGCAAAGAAGAGATGGGCTTTAGAACAATATTCATTACCTGAAGTTTTTTGTTTTTTCTATTTTGTTTGGAAGGATAAGACATATTACTGAAGACAGAATAAAATGAATTTCCATAAAAAATGTAAACTGCAATGAGGTAAACTAAATT